ACTGGAGGTGGCGACGGCCAATATTAATAAATCTCTTATGTAGCCGTCCTCCGATGCGACCCCGGCTGCTACGTGGGACAAAACAGACAAATGTTGGCAACATGGTGCCAGAGTAGATGGGACAGACACACGCACCCTGGGGACAAGTTACAGCACGGGGTCGTGCCAACTACGTACACTCGAACGCGAGGGAGTTCGCGCGAACAGGGCCCGCGTGTGTAGGTGTGATAGCGCGCAGAGGGGTGACCGTCTCCGAACTCACGGACTCACCGTTAACGACCACATCCCGAGCGATGTGAAGCCCTTTGTGGATGGTGCCGAGAGCAACCCCCATCACTCGAGTGGCCTGCTTGACCTTTCGACACCGCGTTCGCAAGAGAATCCCATGATATTAACGAATCGGTAACTTCAAGCTGCTTAGGTATACATACCTCGACTGCTGTAGTGTTGGGGTTGCTGAGGCCTACCCATATTATGCTATCTAATCTGTCGTCGGGGTGTGTACAGAGAAACGAGCGGGCAAGAGGGCTGGTGCCAAGTGCGTCGCCGTCGGGCGAACGGGCTGTCGTCGGGTATCGCGTGCTGTTCAAATCACAAAGGGGTCCCTAATTTCTTCCGTGTCATCCATCCCGGTGTCTGGCGGGATCACGCAATCGTCGCATGTCTACTGGTCGCACGCAAACTTCGCAGGCCTGAAGGGATTGTAGAGAGCAAAATGCGCGTTGCTCCGTACTTGCTCTTGCTGGGACTTTTTCAAAACACGCAAGCCTTCCGCGGTAAATGAAGGTTAGCGCAACACGAAACAGCTCCAGCTGCAAGCCTTGACGAGGTCTTGGAATGCATTGCACACAGCCGCCTTGCCAGTGGGGGTGCCGGGGTCCACACTGATGCGATCTGCCACCTCTGTAACGACCATGGTCCGAGCATGGCGGCCCTGATTGCAGCATATGGGATGAAGGAGGTGGCGGTGAACCCATAGTCGCATCTCCATAGTGAGGCATACGTTGATTCGTCATTCGCGGAGTTGGGATTTAAATCGGAGGAGAGGAGGCGGTCCAAAATTTGTCCGGTGTTGCCCTGTTCTGCAGCGCTCCCCTCCATATTTCAACTATGGCGGCATCGCCAACAAACGATGTAAACATGGAGTGACCACGTGTTCGTAAACGTTGAGCGAGGCCGCAAAAAACACCATCTAAATTGCTGAAGTTCATAGCTTTCGGACCGGTAGGGTTGGCGTGAGGGCCCCAGTATATCGCGAATAGACGCCAAGCTATTATTTTCTTCTGCTTCCTATGTATCCAATCGCTCCTATGCCCCGAGTCCTCGACATAACCTAAGGCGTGTAGTCTACAATAATCATATTCTGCTGCTTTCCAGGGCATGGTAAGACTCTGGGGGACCGAATTACCGGACTGATCGTGAAGCTGCAAAGCGTTCCGTCAGGCCCCGGTTCGGTGTGAGCGAATTAACACGACACAGCAGTGGTTGTGGTGTCTCATTTATACGCCATTTTCAGAGGTGGAACACCCCCGGTGGCGGTGGCGGTGGCGAAACAACGTACAGAATGCCGAAATCGTAGGCACATGTCCACCCACGCCACCTCGTTGGCTATATCCCATTGTATGTCTTTGCCAACCAGCCGTACTAACCAGATTGTCCGGACTGGAGAAGATTGATGCGAGGAGGAAGGGGAAGATACTGGAAACGAGCCACAACTGTTGACCAGTCAACGCCGACCAACGTCCAGCACTGGTGATGTCGGCTATCGGCGAAACGTTCGGGGGCAGCATCCGGCGCCATGCAAACCGAGCACGCACAATCTCGGAACCAGCGGGATCAAGAGCATCCATCACAAAGCCCATGATCTTCTTGCCCCAGTTAAGCGCAGACTGCGTCAGCAGTAACATCAAAGGTTCGGGGATGGGGGTCAGAGTCAAGTTAGCTGGCAGGTTACCTGGGTTGAATGACACTTCGCCCGTCAGGACACATGCCCCTTGGCTAGTAATCCGAGCGTCGCTTTGCTCATGTTGGGAACAAAAATAATCGAAGGGATGTGATCACTTTTGTGAGTGTAGGAGACCTGGGAAACGAGATCCACCACACGTCCAATGTGGACTTGCCTGTCTGTCTGACCTATGCCACATGATTGAGCCTGGCATCTGGATTAGACCGAACCAATTACGGCATCTGTGTACCTGGTGCAAAATTTCCATGCCGCATCCCTCAACCCGGTCGAAAGCGACCTCGTCCAGGGGGTTGGGATACCGGGGCACGACCACGCCCAGAGCTCGTGACAGTTTATCCCGGTCCTGCTTCTCTTCCGTGGCGGCAACGCGGTCGAGATCCTCCCTGAGTCCATCCGCTGTCCGGGCGTTTTTGACAATGTCGTACTTCGGGTTACCGAGGTCCCTCCTAGGAACTTCGCATGCCTGGCACGCTCTTTCCGTTTTGGCGTTGTGGTGTTTCTGGTTCGTCCACAAGCTGTGCAAAGGGGAGTCGAGGTTCGCTGTCAGGAGACCTAGTCTCACCAAGGCCTTTTAAAAAAGGGGCAGAGCAGGGTAGAGGGGGCGGTTGGGGCGGGCGTTGTTAGTGTTCGGTATCTGTACATTGTTTGCAGGCGCACACAGGGCAGGAATGAGTCGTTCGCCGAACGCTTTTGCACGTTCGACGTGAACTGCAAACCATGTGCGCATTCTTGCTTCCATAACACCACCCAGCCTTGTTGATTCGTTCGCCGGGGGGTGTCATTGAGCGACAGAACGCCCCCCCCCCCCCCCCCCCCC